TTTTTTTTTCTGTTGGAATAGCGCAAGCTTTAATGGTGCCTCAAAGAAGAAATACATTTTCGTAGAATTAAAAATCGTTTGCTAAATTAAGATAAAATTGTTTTGGCCATTGTAGACCTAAAATATCATCATTATGCTATTTTCTGATGTATTTCATATCTTCTTATATACCTTTCTGTCAGGATTGTTTAAGTTGTCTTTCTTTCTTTACTTTTCATTTGAAAGACCAATCTCCTTATCTTTTTAAACATTTAAGATAATTTAAAGGAACTAGGGGCAGGAACTTTAAAAGAATACATATGCATGTCAATTAGTTTTTTTATGCTAATGGGTGATGAAGCGTTATAACTTAAAGAAACGAGCCCATCCATGCATCTCTCCATTTTCTTAAGTAGGCTGCATAATGTACTGCGATTTTGGGGCCGAATTTTAGATGAGACAATGCATGTGCCCCTCAGTCGTAGTAAAATACTTGCTATATATGTTTGTTTCTGTCTGTGTTTCTGTGTGCTAACTTTCCGGCTTGGCTGGTGGCTGCAGTTACCCGCAGCGCCAGTTGTGGCACTCCTGAGACTCATTTTCTCCTCCTGCCTCTAGTTCCTTTCCCAAATCCTAATTGTAAAATGCAAATGAACTACATTTATAAACATCATAATTTTCAGAATTTATGATAATAGTAAAAATGATTTATTCATTCAAAACTTGAATAAGAGCTCTGTTTATAGTTGAAATTGAAAAAAAAAAAGAGCTATCCTATATGTTTGCAGCCCAGTCCCTGGTTAGGCTTTAAAAGGTCAAACTTTTCAAAGATCCAAAATGCTAATCCATATTTTATTTTTGAGTTTTGTTTATTTGGGTTCATCTATTCTTTGTATGAGCTATATTGCATGTGTTATAAAGCTTATTGGAAAAAGTAGGTTGTGATAATCTTTATAATTTCTTGTCAAAATGTGTTTTTTTAAATTGTTAATTTGATGTGATCATCCAGTCATTCTTAAATTTGAATTTAGTATTTATAGTTGAATATTATACATTTATTTTAAGTAGCCTCAAAAAATGTTTCAGAATTTAAAAACGTTCATATTTATGGTTTAAATTTTTAATTGATATCTTAAGTAAGTAAAGATAGTTGTCAGTCTAAAGATATAAATTATTTAGAAGTCATTTTTTTCTCTCTCTCTTTTTGTATATTCCTCTCTCAGGACATAAACAAGCGGTTGTCTCTCCCTGCTGATATCAGACTGCCAGAGGGCTACTTGGAGAAGTTTGCCATGAACAGCCCGCCCTTTGACAAACCCATGAGCCGCAGACTTCGACGCGCATCGCTGGTCAGTTAATGCGCAGTTGGATATATTTTCATCTATGTTCATAATTAAATACGCTGTTTTTTTCTGTAACTGCAATCTTTGCACATGCCGTTGGTCAGTTTTTAATGTCCTTTATTTGATCCTGTGTTGGTTGGATAAAATATGATTTGCTTAACAAGCAACTGTAATGGTTGACTGATATTATTACATTACATTCTAACTACAGAGAGACAAACAGCTGTTTCAAACACACACTGAGTTATGCTACAGGATTACAATGCCTCAGCAGGGGGATGAATGAGATTTTCTGCATTATGTATCCAGGACAGGGGAGGGTTGCTAGAGATGGGAGGGGTGCACTGCTGGATGCACAAAGCAAAGGATGATGGGAAGAATGAAAAAAATATTATTCATATGCAAAATATTCTATTATTCCATCTTATCCCTTTAGTGCTCATCTTGCTTTTGTGTTGGATTTAGTTTCTCCCGTTTTCAGGTATCCCTTCCTCGCTGCTCTGTGTTTCACTCATCCTGTTCGCTGCATATTTGCTGCCTTTTAAATCCACCTTGGTTTGCTTCCTACTGTATCTTCAAACCATATTACTAAATGGCTTGAAATTTGAGAAGATTTAACCTCACCGATCATATTTGCTGTAATTATTTGACATAGCTAATACACTGTCTCTGGCTCCCTCCCTAAAGCAATTAAATGATGCAGCTTTTTTTTTTTTTCAGGAGTCTTACACAGCTCCAAGTATAGTTGGGGAGAGGTTTGCTGGAAAATGATCAAATCTGTACAGTAGGAGGTGAAAAGTGGAACTAGAAGATTATAGTGGCAAGAGTTTCCTGTAAAATTTGGGCTGAGGATCATTTGGTTCATCCACCTGTGTGTGTAGCTGTGGATCCTCTGGGTTAAATGTATGTGATGTAATAGATCAATCAATAATTCAGCAGCAGTGTCAGAGTCATCTGCAGCAGCTCCTTTCCTGAACAGGATTTCACTCTCAGCTTAGATAAGAAGGAGCAATACAGAAAGGGCGTGAAAAGGAAATAATAACGATGGAGCCGCAGAAAAGTCTTAGACCAGCTACTGATTTGTGCAATTTCTTGGTACAACTAGAATCTTTTTTTACATATATATATATATATATATATAGTATATAGTATATAGTATATACATACACATTTCCTATTCTGTATGAAGTATTAACGTAATTGTCTTTGGGCTGTTGATGTTCTCGTCTGTTACCGTAACCAGATCTGGTGTGACATAACCGATCCCCTTAGTTGAAACCTTGTATTTTGATCACCGATCCTTCTCCTGTGTAATGCAAGTGAATTTGGTTGGTATCAGTTTTCGGTCATTGCTGTTGCCCCCAGATAATCAATAATTCAAAGCAGGTTGGTGAGATTCAGTGTTGGATGGTGCTGAGAGATAACTTAGTGTTTCATTTCAATGCACACTAACACTGTTATTGCAACAAGTAAGGATGTGTGAATAGTAAAGCATTGTGTTATTGCTCTAGATGAGCCCATACTGAAGAAAGTTAGAAAAATGCTACTTTTAGTTTTAGTGCTTTTATTCAACACCATTAAAAGTTTCCTCATTTAGAAGTGATTATTTTTCTAACAAAAGAGATGGCTTTAGCATATTGAATTCTGATTAACTTTTCATTAATTTTTTGCCTCTGTTTTTTATATTGGACTAGAGTGCCAGATTATGACACTGTTTTCAGTTTTCTGGTATAAGGCAATGCACTTTAATATAAATGTAGTCAGTATCTAATGAATCCAATTTGCCATGCGCTGTAAAAATGTTTCTATATCCTCTGTAAAAGAAATGGATCATCAATATATGGTTTCATAGATCATCAGTAATATTTGCCAGTGTGTCACAAGGGGCATTTTAACATATCTATTCCTTTTTTTCAAGTCAGACTCACCTTGATTGGCACTGACTAGCTCATTGCTAGTCCCATGTGGCCAAAGCAGGCACATTAAAGTTGGGCAAACTCCATGTTTATGTGTGTGACGATAGGACAGAACAGACGTGCCTCTAACACAGCATGCTGGCATGTAGAGAAAGTCCCAACTGTTGTTAAGGATATTTAAGGACAGCTCAAGATGCCGTTCCTCTGTGAGCTTTAGAGATGGTTTTTTTTTTACCTCCCTTGCCATCATATTGTGCTTAGTTATAATTTTTTTTCCTACAGTTATAGTTGTTTTAATTTTTTTACTGACTGTAAAGTTTGGTAGTTGAGAGAAGCTCTTATCTGGTAGATGTATAGTAATCTATGAAAAAAAGCCCACTTCTTTCTTCCTTGAAAATTTTCCCCAATAAATAAATACTCAAAACTAAAATAAAAAAATATAATTTTAGAATGAAGATATCTATATAATCTTTTTTTTAATCTGTGCAGTATGAACAGCTCCATAATTTTGATTCCTGATATTTTTATTGTGTTTTGTAAACAGTCTGACCTTTTTCTCATTCAGCTGATAAAAAAAAAAAACTTATTTTGGATTTTAAAGTTTTTTGTTTTATTTCAGAAAATGTTCTGTGATATCAGGGGATAGCATGAATAAGAATGATAATTCAACATGTTGATAATACTTCTGGTACCTGGATACAACGTGTTAATAAAAGGGATTTTGTTTTTCTCTACTCCCACCTCTCATTGCCATCCTCCACTTCTCTTTGCAGATACAGGAGCTGTCATTTTCTTTCTCCCACTCAAACACACTAAATCTCTCACAGTATTAAGCTTTCTCGCAAGCGGCAGATAAAAGAGCCATAGTTGCAAATGAAATGTTGCTGAAGAGTTCTCTTCTCAGTCCATGTTATACTCAAAGCTGCAGACATTTCAACGCTTGCATTTCATGCTTGAGGTTCATCTATACATCAGTCTAAGCTGTCCCTGCACAAAAACCACGCTCATATTGTCCTGTTACTTTAATTTTGTCTCTAAAACTTGTTCTGACCTAGTTCTGCTGAGTAAGCTCACTGAAGCATTGAGAAAGAAATGAACCCGTTGCCATCGAAAGCATATGCAAGCACGCACACACTTGCTCTCTCACTCGCATACTGCTTGCAAGTTCACAAAGCATTAGGTACTTGGAGGGCAGACCATTTTCCGAAAGTAGGCTTGATGCAAAGAGGTTTAGTCTTTTATAGTTTTAGAGATACCTGAAGCAGACAAAGTGCATGCTGCATTGCTTAGATGTTAGTATTGATTCTATCACAGTAAAAGTATAGTTGGAATAGTGTAGACCAAGGAAATGTGGTGATGATGTTGATTCTTTGCACTTTTCTCACAAAAATAACTCTTAGCTATAATGGCAGGACAGCTTTAAGCATGGTTTCAGACAGCTGCTGTCATTGAATTGGAAAAATGGAGCAGCATTTTTTTCTTTGTGTCATTTTCATCTTCAAGAAGTAAAAAAATCACCTGTTTTTATGCAGAGAAACAAGATTCTGTGTGTCTGAGTGGAGTATTGTCAGCTTTTAGGAATGTCTGGATTGTTTTTTTACTTCTCTTCAGTACTGATCTGAGTAGCTTTAGAATAGGTGCCTTTAAATTTTGACTTTATTATAGTTATTAAGTGCAAAAAATATTTCTGACTAATCTAGAGCTTTCAACTGCTATAAAAACAGTTAATTTTCCCTGCATTGCAGCTCACGTTTGACTTTAGCCCTTTTTTTGTTTTCTTTAGTATGGCAGATGCACTATGCTGTTGTTATTTGTATTAATCATTCAGTTGATTGTCGCTGCACACATGTTGGAACTTGACTAACATTTCTCCCATGATCTCTAGGGATTTGTATGAAGGGGTGGCACCTGTTTCACCTATAAGCAGCTTCAGCTCTTCTATTAAACTTTTCCATGGGGTTTAGGAATGTGTTTATGTGCATTTGTTTGGCCAGACACTGTTCTAGGGCTGGCTCATCTGCAGACCAACCAAGTACTTCCTCACCAACCTGAGCTGTCCATATGTTTATGGACCTTGCTTTCTGCAATGATAAACTCAGGAATTAGACTTTGTCAAAAAATATTAATATTGGAATTTTAAGGAATGATTAAACTCCTTGCATATAAACTTGCAAAGATTGAGCATCATCCTCAGGCTCACTGAACAACGAAGGCAGTATTAGCGTCTGGAATAGTCATACCACAACAGGACTGTTTGGAATGCAATGATTTTTGGCTGATATTTTCCAAATATTATGGACTTGAATTTTACAAGCTAATGCAATGTAGCAGCAGATGCTCATACTGGAAACAAATGACATTACCACCAAAGATCTCGCAGCCCTGCCCATCAGCGCTCTGAGAAAGGCTGAAGCACCAGGGAGAGAGTTTGCTCAATTGGGTTGTTTTGACTTTTCACACTTAAGGGGATGGATGCCAATATATTTATCAAAAAGTTGTATCATATTCTACGATTAGTTAAACAGTCAGTAATGGTGTTAACATTTCTGAAGTTGCTAAAATGTTAACATTCCCCTTTAAAGAGATGACATGGTATCATTGGCTAAGTCAGGCAGCATATATACTGTAGGTGCAAATGCATAAACTGACCCATCATTCAAATGGACACTATGATGGAATAGAGGTGTTTATTGCACAGAAAGTTAAAAACATGGTTTAAATGTGTATGACTGAGACAAATAAACAAGAGCCAAGGACAGAAGGATACACCCTGACAGGCTTGTGGCTGTCACAGCTTGATGTAAATCTGTTCATTAATAATTCATGCTCTGCCATCCCAGTGGTGACATACAGTGACAGCTGAACCTGTTGGATATTAACTAACGACAGAATTAATCCAGAGTTTACTTAGATGGAAAAATACCCAGTGGACCTCTATAGAGCTCTTTAAAGCCAAACATAAAGTGCCCATTGAATATATCAGGGTTGTTTGTGGAGAGGAACTGTTCTAAAGAGTTATAAACAAAGGCCGTAATTATTGTCATTTAATAAAATGACATGTCCGCTTGCATCTGATTAGTTAGAGAATGCAAGGCCTTCCAATATGAAACAGAAATTGTGTTCTAAAATATTTATATAGATAAATATGAGCAGTGAGCTGCAGCTCTGTTGATGTTGACAGATTTGAAACCTTTGCATAACAAGACTGGATGAATTTTATTTTTGTGAGTGAGATTATAGTCAAAAAGTGCTCCAGAGAGTGTTCCAGTGCAGACAATGGAAGTTATACAATTCAATAATTTTGATGTTAAATTCAGATGATCAGACAAATGCTTCTTGTAAACAACATATAAGCACCCTGCCTTTTTTTAAGTTTCAGTGTGTTAGTATAATGGTGAAGAATATATTTTCTTGGCACACTGTTTGCTGTTAGGCACTGTTAGGTATCAGCCATAGTTTACATGCTACAACTTACCTAAGCATAGCTGCTGTTTATATCATTCCAGTATGACCACAGTGTAGCCATCTGTTGATTGCTACTTCTAGCAGTTTAATTCAACATGTAGTGAAGTTTAAGTTATCCTTTACGGTTAGTTTGCTGTACCTAATGGCCTTCAGAGTGACTAGATCTCAGTTCAATAGAAACCATTTCAGTCATGGAGGAATGATGAATCTGCAGCAACTGCATGATTCTGTCGTATCATAAAGAGCCCAAATTCTCAGGATTGTGTCTGAAACCTTATTGAATCCATACCATAGAGAATTTGGGCAGTTTTCATGCAGTCAAGTACTAGCAAGCTTTACTTGATAAAGAGCCCAGTGAGTGTCTGTTTGTTACCAATATTTACATTGCAGAATTGTACAGTTTAGTTTATTGAAGGTCCCTTTTAAGTTTAGCCTTTATTTTGGCAAAAATATACCTATTTCTCAAAATAGTGCTTGGGCAATCAGATTTTTTTATTTCCAACAACCATGACACAGAGGATTTCAAGAGATAATTAGCTTAATGAACTGCTGAGGGCTTGCTTTCCTCCAAATAAAGTGCAGTGAAAACCAAACCAAATTGGCAGAGTGACAATGTGACAAGATCCAGGGAACCAGCCTAACTTGACCCGTCTTTTTTTTCCCCCCTCCTACAGTCTGAAATCGGCTTTGGGAAACTTGAGACGTACATCAAGCTGGACAAGCTGGGCGAGGTTAGATCAATAATAAAAAATGGCTTCAATCAATATTCAGTGCTCAAGATTTTATTAATGCACTCACATGTTTTCCCATCCATGCAGGGAACCTACGCTACAGTGTTTAAAGGCAGAAGCAAGCTGACAGACAATTTAGTAGCTCTGAAAGAGATACGCCTGGAGCACGAGGAGGGCGCACCCTGCACAGCCATAAGAGAAGGTACTACACCCCAATCGAAAAGTTAAAGCTACCCCTAACATGAAAATACCACAATACATACTGTAATCTTTGTCAAGGCGAGACATTAGAAAATAGAAGATTTATGGCTCATTTTTGTTTCCTTTTTAAGTTTCTCTGCTGAAAGACTTGAAACATGCCAATATTGTCACTCTTCATGACATCATTCACACGGACAAGTGCCTGACTCTGGTGTTTGAGTACCTGGTAGGTGTCACCTTAACCAAATAAAGTGTGTATTTTAAGGTCAATAACGTTCCAAAACCCCAATGAATATTTGCTCTCCCTTACAGGAAAAAGACCTCAAGCAATACATGGATGACTGTGGAAGCATCATGAGTATTCACAATGTTAAGGTAATATTCAGATGTTGCATCTACTCTGTAGAGAAATATAATCTAAACCAAATCTATTTTTATTACTGAAGAGAGATTGCTTCATGTTGTCAGAGTAGTTTGTTTAATTGCTCTTAAAATTTGTCCAAAAACCACGCAGGGTTTTTTTTTCCCCACAGTGACACAAATGTCTGACCAAAACAAGGATGCAGTTATCTAAAACAGGGACATCCATTTACTAAATTAATCAAATTAATTTCTAACTTAAAATATTATCTTGATTAATCTGCTAAAATGATCTGATGTCAAGATCCATAATGGCTTCATTGAACACAACTTTACAGCTGCTAACTATGATTTCATTTTTGGCTCCTCAGATCTTCTTATTCCAGCTTCTAAGAGGTCTTGCTTACTGCCATAGAAGGAAGGTTCTCCACAGAGACCTTAAACCCCAGAATTTGCTCATCAATGAAAAAGGGGAACTCAAGCTGGCAGATTTTGGTAAGATGACGTTTAACCAACTGCAAGCTAAAAATGGTCTCTCCCCATTTCAACTCGCTGTACTTTTACTTCTGCAAAGCCCTTTAAAAAACTTTCCCTTTGAATGTATTAATTCCCTATGATAAACCGTTTCCATAGCACCTTGTCTTTATTTTTCTATATACACTTTACACCACACTTGGATTTTTTAGTGAAATAAAATTTGGTGTACTGTTTTCTTTCTCACTCCTCTACGCCTCTGTGCTCTAATAGACATGGTCCCCTTTAAGGCATAGTGTTGTTGTCTACTCAATTGAAGAATAGTGGTTATATATTACCAAATTCCTTTACATTATAAAACTATATATATATATATATATATATATATATATATATATATATATATATATATATATATATATATATATAAAACTATAACTATAACTGGAATCAGCCCAAACAGGAGGTTATGTGAACTACCCAACACTGCCCTCCTGTGGTATAGTATGGATATTGACATAATGACCTAAAGAAACCTTTTGTAATTAATTGCTGAATGGCGTAAAGTGAAAATCGCATCACAATTAAGGTGATTATGTTTCTTTCCTCATGATATTGTGCACATTTATGACACAAAAGGTGTGTTTTTATTCAGGTTTGGCTCGGGCCAAGTCTGTCCCCACAAAGACGTACTCAAATGAAGTTGTGACGTTATGGTACCGACCCCCAGATGTTCTCCTGGGCTCGACTGAGTACTCCACTCCGATTGATATGTGGTAAGAAAACATAATTTCCACAAATACAGGGATTATCACACCAGCTATTAATGTTTTTTTGTTTTTACTGTGCAAAAACATTTCAAGATTTGAAAACCTGGCTGAAAAAAGAAAATTGTTATTGTGATCCTTTTCTCTTTTACACAGGTTCTAAAAATGTTTAGGTGATCTTAACCTAACTTAATTTTCCATTAGCTCGCTTTTTTCATGTGTAGACATACTTGGTATCAAACTTTAAGGTTTTATCTGTCTTCTGTCCTTCTGTAATGTTGTGTTATTAGGAAGTGTAGTGCTAGCTGATGGGTGAAGGTTACACAAAGAGGAAAATACTATGCTCAAGGTTCAGTCCCATAATGTCTGATTCATAAGACCTTTAGGTCTTTGCAGACAGATTTTGCAAGAAAGCAATCACCAAACATATTTTTTATTTGCCATCAATAAATTTGCTTTATGTTTAAACAGTTAATCTAGACAAGAATTTCCTCCAATAAACTTCCTTCTCTGTTATAATTATTTTGAAAGTTATCTCACCAAACACTTCAGTGCTGACTTGTGTGACATTTAGTTTACTTCTGTTTCCTTGTTCTAATTCTTACTGCATTATCTATTTTTTTTTTTACCTTACTTCTCCAGGGGTGTTGGCTGCATCTTCTATGAAATGATCACAGGCAGGCCTCTTTTCCCTGGATCGACTGTGGAGGATGAGCTGCACCTCATATTTCGTATTCTAGGTTGGAAATCCATCAGATCCTGTCAGATTTTTCTGACAGCTTCTAGTTTAATGCTTTTGTAAAATGCTAATTATTCCTTTTTTTTTTGTCCTTTTCCAACAGGTACTCCCACAGAAGCAACTTGGCCGGGAATCACTACAAGTGAAGAGTTTAAAACATACAATTTCCCCCGCTACCACGCAGAACCCATCGTCAACCATGCACCAAGGTACCAGGCACTCTGTGTTGAACAGCTTGCATGTTTGTAGATCAAGCTCCTTTGATGTTTTAGATGCAAAACAGATATATTTTAAAGGGATTCACTTCTACAATTTGGCAATGTATCTGTACAGATTAAATCAGCACTATACTCACCGTCTTCTCATCCACTCTTACTCTCTCTCACAGGATAGACAGTGATGGACTTGACTTACTCTTAAAGCTCTTACAGGTAAAACACATTTCTGTTCTTTAATTATGGAAATACCCTCACAGAAAACCAGACCTTTTGATCAGGATGAATGATTACCATTCCTGTCTTTTTTTTATATATCAAGTTTGAAGCAAAGAATCGAGTATCAGCTGAAGAGGCTCTAAGACACCCGTATTTCAAAACTCTAGGAGAGAACCTTCAGTCACTGCCTGACAGTGAGTGCCGCTGTAATAAGTTCAATTATTAGCTTAAAGAATGAACTCTCTTAACAAATATGTGTCTTTATGTTTTTAGCTGCTTCCATCTTCTCTGTAAAAGGCATCCAACTACATAAAGATCCAGGGAAGAGGTCCTCGATTCATCCAGAGTCAAGTAAGTACCCCGTAATAAACCCAGGAAGGAAAGAGAAACTTTCAGGACCCCTTCACTCTTTTGGGACGATAGGATATGTTCCCTGTCTCTCTGCTCTTTGCTTCCCTTTTTCTTTTGTGCTGCCTTTATGTTTTGTCTCATAACACTCTGTGGTCGAGTCACTCAATAGTGTCCTCCTTCATAACGTCCATCTTGAAACGCTCAATGACAATATTAAACGCATGTCTAAAAACTTAAAACTGGTATAATTACTGTAGGGTTTGATACTTTCTCTGAATTCAGTCCACAAATACACAAATTCTAACAATCAGTTTAGTCAGCTTTGGTTTGGACTCAGATTATAGCTCCATATTTTTTCTTGCAGTAACAAAGTTAATGTTTTTTACAGGCAAAGTCTTAAGATTTGAATGCTATCATTAATTATATATTACAATGAACTGCTATAATTTTATTGATTGGGCTTCAGTTTACAGCAGCTTTACTTTAAAAAATAAAATAAAATCTTTTAAACAAATTTTTTTTGCTTTGTAACAAGTCCATTTAAAAACTTGTGGGCTTTTGTAGTCAGCTTTAAGTCACCAGTTTGGTCCAGAGTCTTACCCAGTAGTCAGACCTCTCAAACTATTTTAAAACTTTTTGTCATTTTCCATGCAAACTGGAACTTTGCTAAATTTTTATTCTGTCTGTTTTTGTAGATTTATGGAGCATATATTGATACTGGATAGTAGTTTTCTGATAGTATTTCTCTATTCTATTATATTATTCTATTCTATTCTGCACAGATTAGATAATGATTATGATGAAAAGGGAGAATAGAAAAATACATTAAAGAATCCATTAAAGTGTGGTATGCATAATTTATTCTTTCATTCTTCAAATACTAAAATAAAAAAAAAATGCAACTAATTCCCTCTAAAAGTCCTTTACTTAGCAAACAGCGTTATTTGTTTGTAGTTAAACCTTTGTGTTCAAGCCATCATTTGAAGGGGATAGTCCAGCTGCAAACCTACCATGGTAACTCTGGAGCAAGCGGGAAAAGTTAAAAGGGGATCAGAGTTTTAGTGGAAAAGCCAAATACTGAACACTTCTGTGAGAAAACGTTACATTGGCTGCAAAAGGTTTTAGACAGAGGTGAAGATTTAGCTTCTTCCTGACAAAGTTTTTAATCAGGTAAGCTCTGACTGAGATGGGTTTATATGAAAAATAGATATTTATTCTTTTACTTCAGTTATTAACTGTTTTCTGCAAGTGAATCACAAAAAGTGATGATAATATGCAGTAATGGAGGTTTTGGTTATGGAAAGATCGAGAAAAAAAAAGGGTCAAAGGACAAACTGCAGCAAACAATTTCAAACTGGTCCTATTAAGGAGAAAATTAAAAACTCTTCATGGTCCAAAGGTATCAGGTGCTACATAATTAAAACCTGAATGTATCCTCCTCCTCTGTCAGTTAGTCGGAAGCAGAAATAGATCATTTTAAATGTGCTTAAAACAAAATAAGTCTGGTTTTGAATGCTTTATTCTCCACTGATTTGATTTATTTGAGTTAGATAGAAAAACAAACATATCCAAACAAACCCATTACATAAACTGTGTTTTAATTCATTTACTTTATAATACCTTCAACATTTCCTTTGACTTTAATGTTACGCTGTTTTAGTCTTTGTGTGTCTTTTTTACTGTTTGTCGTCTTTCTGTCCTGTTTAAGTAAACTGTCTTTTCTCTTTGGTGGCCATGCACTCTTCTTCTGCTCTGTTTCATCTTTTCCTTAATCCTTTTTCTGATCTCCCTTGTGTTCCTGCCTTAAACTCCTCCTTAAAACCTCAATATTCCCAACCTTCCTTTTCCCCTGACCCTTAAAAAAGTGGTGGCCCATAAGCTAGGCTCTGCACCCTCGCAGTACTTCCAGAGAGAGGCAGCCAATCCCAGGGCTCAGAGTCACAATCTCTCCTCCACTTCTACTGGCTGACTGGGCCCTGTCAATCTGGTAAATACTGTCTCTTTCTCTCAGACTGTCTTCTTTTCACTTCTCCTGTTGCTGTTTGGCATTTCTTCTTCTTTCAACACCCTGTCTTTGTTAAAAACCTACTTTATGTGCACCTTGCACCTCATTCAGTCACGTTTTGTTCCCTTTTTTTTCCTCCGTACTCTCAGCTGTTTATCACCGTAAGGTTTCACCTTTTTGATTTTTTTCTTGATAGAGTTTTTCCCCTGATTTTTTTATTACCCCCTCCCCCTCTGCCTTCCCCAACATAAAAGCCTAACCTAGAAGCTTAATCTCAGCTGCTTTAATCAGCCGTGGAGTTGTTGTTTTTTAAAGGATTCAATGAAGCTGTGGTTTGGTATTCCAAAATCACGGTGTTTCTTGACTGGTTTCATTTGCAGTCCTGTTTAGGTTTCTGCAGCGCGAGATGTAGCATTATCATGAGTCTGTAAGTTTAGGTTTTCTGAAGATGGGGTTTGTTTTTTTGTCTTTAGCATGGAAATGTGTGTTTTTTTATTTTATTGCTGTGTTTAATAATTTGGTAAGTATGAGCCACTGTTAAAAAAATAAATAAATACAAATTGTGACTTTTTTTGCTGTGGATGTAATGCATGTGCACAAAGTATAAAGCCTTGCAAAAGTATAAATGCATTTTAAATTGTTCTCACTTTCAACCATACAGCAGAAAGTGTCTTATACACCAGCTTAAAATAGTGCAATAGTGCAAAATTCAACAGGTAAGAGGAAATGATGCCTGTTTTTTTCTTATTCTTTTTTAAAGCTGAAATCTGAAACATTTGGTAAACATTTGTCTTTAGTCCCCTAAGTGCCCACTTGATCATCTAGAAACGTCAATTTTTTGTACTTAATCTTTGCAAAACACCTTAATTCCTGTCAGTTTGGATGAAGAGCTTCTATGAACCACAATTTTTGAGTCTTGTGAAGGATTCTTGGCAATGGTCAGATTTGTGTCCTGCTGATTGTTTCAAATCTTTTCCAGTTTTCCCCTCAGGGTCAATCTGTATTTAACTCTGTCCATCTTCCTATTTAATCTGGACAGCTTCCCCAGACCTGCTGAAGAAATGTTCAGCCCATAGCATCATTCATGTCCACCATGTTTCTGAGGTGGTGTTTTTTTCTGTAACGCTTTGGATCTTTTGCCTCGTGTTTGCAGTGTCTCCTACGGGCAATCGGTATATGTGATTTCATTTTCTTGCCACTCTTCTACATTCATAGAGATGGCGACCCTAATTTATCTCAACTGAGCTGTGGATCTGTGAATCTCCTCCAGAGTTAAAATACTTTGATTAATATTTTATCCAGCCTACCAGGGTACTAGCCTTTGTAGGTATGCCATTATTTTTAATTCTTTCCATTACGGCTGAAACAATTCATCGGATTAATCCTAATAAATCGATTTTTGAAATAATCGTCAACTAATTTAGTAATTAATTAATCGTTAACTGGAGTATAAAGACTCTAAACCGTGCCTTTAGCTGACAGAGCGACCCGCCTTGAGCAGCAATTATACAAAAATTGTAAAAAACAAAATATGTAAACATTTTGCATGCTCAATCTAGAACCCCTAAAGTTGAAAAGTTTTAATTTCATTTGGTTTAATTTTGAAAAAAAGTCTTCTTTAAGTAACCTTTGGCTATCTGATTATTAATCAATTAATTAAAAAAATAATCAACAGATTAATAGATTTGCAAAATATTCCTTAGTTGCAGCCCTACTTTCCATTTGTGATTTCCATAAAATCTCATATGTAACTCTTCCCTGTTTAAACAGCCAGATATAACTTATAATGATCTAAACCTGCTTTTAACGTTTGCCCAAACCTGTCTGGTGTGTTTCTTATTCATCATGATGCTGTTTGTTCAGCATTTAGCAAAACACCGAGACTATCTCTCTTTATACACAGAACTGAGAAAATCTCAATTAAGACTTTTAAAAGCAGTTTGTTGCACTAGATTTTATTTAAGGGTTTTTGAGCAAAGCAAAGTAAATGCTGGGGGACGCTTATTTGTTTATTTACAATAATTTAAAAGACCTGTATAATTTTCTCTTCACTTACATGTTTATACTTTTGCAAAGCATCGTGTTTGGTTTTAATTCTAAGGATTTTCTTGGCAGTGTTTAACCATTTTCAATATCCCAGATTTAGGTTGAAGGCGGAGAAGGTTTGTCAGTTTTTATGCAATCCATTTTTTTTTCTTCCCCCAAATGGTTTCTAATCTGTTCTAAAAGTTAGAGTATCCAGATTAAAAACTGATGGAAAGCCTAGTTGTTAGCAGATAATATTATTGTCATTTGTAATGTAAATGTCTAGTAAACAACAAATGCAAAGTTAGCAGTTTACATGGTGCGCTGAATAAAATTAAGCAGTCATATATAAATTTACAGGTTTTTGTTGATTATGCGATGCATTTATGTTTATTCAGTTAGTATATATGTTCAGGATAGGAGTGATTTGTTTCTATAGTTGACGTTTCAAATGATCTTCAGAATTGATAGCCAAGTGCTGGTAAAATGCATTTCTAGAAAGTGTTGGGAATAAAGATGATTTTTTTTTGCTGTTCCATAATTTCTTGTAAAGCAGGACTAACAAAAGTGAGGATTACTTTTTAAAGGTTTCTTTGAGGAAAAGTAAGATTTATTTTTGTTAACCACCTAAACTGAAAGAAAAAAACGTTTTTTTACTGATTTCAACTTACTTTCCCCTTAACATTAGAATAATAATTCATTCTGAAATCCAAATTTGAAATATTTTTTTTCTCACAAGCTCAGAATTGGAATGCAGGATTCACTAAAAAGACAATTAACATGAATTAAAAAGTAAAACAGAAGGAAAATAAGAGCAGCTAGTAGAGCAGATGAAACAGCTGAACCACCACAAACTTAAACTAATCATACCTCAGTTGACAGTTTAATTTTAACAGTCAAAGGTAGTTTTAAACAAATGAGACAAACAATTGGGTTTTTAAGTCTTTGACTTAAGATATAAGAATTAGTGGTTTAACTGTTTATTCAGGAGTGAGTGTCACTTTGAGAGATGCTGCTCTGTTTTATTTGTGTGAAATAGTTTTATGGGGGGAAAAAAAGTCAGTTTTAAAGTAGTAGTATCGATTTAAAAAAAAAAATGGTTACATAAAACATTGATGGGAAAATGGGCTACCTCTGCACCACCACTCTGACAGAAAGCGCTGTGGAGCCCTTTAACTGTGCGTGCAGCACCAAATCTGTATTTGAGGCAGTCACAGTGGAAGAAAACCCCAAACAAAATGGATAATAGTACCTAAGCAATATTTTCTGATGAAAATATACAGCACTTGCTGTTTTATCTCATCATTTGATTTTGATACTGCAATATCGTGATAATATCGTATCGTGACCCAAGTATCGCGACACGTATCGAATCGCAACACTCATGCCAATACTCACCTCTAGTAACTAAGCAGTTGCTGCAGTCTTGTGCATCTAATGTTTTCTGGCCTGTAGTGGTGTGTTAACTGGCTTAATGTGAAATTTGCAAACGTTTAACAATGTTCATATGTCCAAAGAAATTAATCTCAACAACTTTCATCTCTTTCTGTATCTCCCTCTTTTCTGTATCTCTCTTTTTTCTGTATCTCAGGCCAGGGGAAGAGCAGGAGGCAGAGTGTGTTGTTTTAGTGCTGGCGGGATGGTGAGATGCAGGAGACAGTGACACGTAGGGCTGTCTCATCCAAACCAACATTTACCAACCCCGCCACACACAGTCTAAAGGAGCGAAGCACACCTGCTACACAGTCACACACTCCTACTGGAGAAAGGAAAGAGACATACACACCAACACTCTTTCAGTAAATGTGATAACAAAAACCACACAAAACTATGGCTGAAGAATTCTAACTTATAGATAAAGACTCAGTTCAACCCTAATGATAGATATTATAATGAATAAGTGTAATGCTGGAAGAAGTGGGAGGATATAAGGTTCTCCTTGCTGCTGCTGCTGCTACTGCTGTCCAGAAGAGGACAGTGTTATAATGTGAGCTGACTCGGATTTGAAACTGATCTTGCTGTATCAGTCAGCTGGAAGGAAGGAGGAGTCAAAGTCAACATGAATCAACGGCTAAGAAAGTAAGAGGTGTCAACTCTCACTCTATGTTCACATTATTGCTGTACATAGATAGACTAAGCTGTAGAACTCCTGCTTTTTTCATAGCACACCTCATCCTGAACCCAAACTCTAATGCATTGCACCTCGACCCTGAACTTTTGCTGAACTCCTTTAACGGTTGTTCTTTGATTATGTTTATCTTAAACACACTGACTTACACTGATGGCTCACTTGAAAATGACGAGTGTGTTGACAGTTGGAGTTTACGGAGAGAAATGTTTTGCACCTTATTGCCCAGCAGAGGTCAGGGTGGCTGTTTCTGTTACCTCATCAGTCGCTCCAGCAGGGTAGGATGTACATGTACACGACTGAGTAAGAATCATTCGAGAAACCAAAAAAATATGATTTCCACTAAAATCATAGGACATGCATAAGATGTTGTTTTTGCACTACTTGGATACTCTACATTTGAAAACACTCTGCGTTTCCGCAATGCTGTAAAGAAAAACACTACACTGCAGAATGCTGTTCTGTTTTTGTGAGAAGGATAACACTGAAGAGGTAAAGGAAGTGTACAATTCCTCACCTGCTGATTCCCAGATGCCCCACCCCTCATCCTTTTTGCCTTGACTGAGAAGTTATTTGTTGTCATGTGGAGGTCTTAATGTTGAACTGTCCTGTTTGTATCTGATTTTACCTCGAACTCATAAATAGATCCTTCTTCTGTCAAACCTTATGTGCTTTTTTTTTTTTTACGATTTTACTTCTTTTTAAAATGAAATAAATCTGTATATATATGATCATGAGATTTACTTTTTCAGAAGAAGCAATGATTATTCCAGGATGCTGTTCTCAGTCTTAACAGTGGGTAATTAGCTGGGGACATGTTGCACATTCCTTAAGCTCAGGACTTTTTGCTTGTTTTGTTTCTGTGGATGCTGTGAGGTGCAGCTGATGGCGTGTCTCCCCAGTAGAGCAATTCATGGTCCAAAGTCCTTTGCGATGATAGTTTATACTGTATGTAAAGAATATCCGTCTTTGCTGTCATTCATTTGCTGTTAAATCAATTTAATATTGTTGTTTAGAGACTACCTTACATTTTGTTCTTTGTCGCCATCTCTTTAAGCATGTTTCGCTATAAAACACATGTTTTTATGTTTGTATGTGGATTACCTGCTGCAGGAAGAGGAATACCCCCTTTGAGCATTGCATGCAACATAATTTTATCACATGGTTATTACACCAAATAATATAATATGAACCTTAAATACTGTACCAATAACAACACAATGTAAAATACCGATATAAAGAGCTGACTGGAACATGACGGGCTGTACGGTTAATCAAAATCAGCTAAAATACAGTATGTAGGCAGTCAAATATGCAGCGCCCTCCATGTGTTCTGCCACCCCCTTGAAAATGTATCTGAAAGATGTTTGGAATACAGAAGATCATTTTATCTTTCAATGCAGTGGTCTAATCTCACACAATGTGAAAAATATAAAGGTAAAACTGAATGTAAAATTTTAATAAATGCGTTTTTTTTTTTTCTTTTTGCAAAATAATTTGATTTAATATAGTAATCATGGTAATCCAAGATTAATCCAAGAATATGAATATGAGGTGACATAGACTTATTTAACTTAAACATTTTAATGCCAAGAACATTTCATTTTAAATAAGGCAAACAAAATTACATATTTCATCAGGAAATCTACAGTTAATGCAACATTGGAGCAGATTAAAGCAGCTAAAACTTCCAAAAAAAGGTAACAAGCTCATCTAGTTTTTTTTAGTTTGAGATTATTTCACTGCAATAAAAAAAAAAAGTCTTATAATTTCTACATGGTTTTCACTTGGTGTGCCAATAAGTTGGAAGGGCGCTGCATTGTTTCTCCATCTGTTCAGCTATATTGGCCAGAACTTGGACGACCAAAGTCGATCCCTCCTGCCCCCAGCATCAGGTGTTCAAGCACACAACTTTTTTTTTTACACACAAATTAGCTGACATGTCAACATGTACTGTATCTGTGAGGAAAGCCTGTTGGTGTATGTGACTGCTTCTGATGCTGACCTCGGGTCATTTCTGCATATCTTTCCATAAAATGGATTTAGAACAAGTCAACTGATCCCATGCTTCTGCATCTAAGGACTACTTCTGTTTCCTAGAGTGTGACAGTATGTAGCATGTACATAGATGATCCCTCACTCTGTATATAAAGAAATGTACAGGTTTGATACAGCTATTCACATTCTAGATTTTTCTCCTTTTTTGCTTTTCTTTATTAAAGGTCTTAGCAATATTTCTGTAATCAATAAAAAGCCATGGAAACTGTTTGATTGCATACTTATTTATTTTAATGGGTGCCTGCAATAAAGATGACTGTTTTTATTTTCCAGCTAAACACACAAAACCCAAGCAATAAAACTGAATGTCCTTTAAAGGTGATAAAGGTTTGTCCGCATTATGAACGTACTGTAATAAGATACATCAATGAAGGTGGTTGGAAGATCTGAATTGCAAATTCTGTACACTCAAATTAGATTCTGCTAAGAAATACTTAATTTGAAAGAACTGAGTATTGGCAATTTAATTACATTACTCTGAGCGTGGAGCAAATAATTGATTTTTTTTTTTTTTTTTTAAGTAAGAATTTAAATGTACTGTACCTAAAGTCCCATAATGATAAAAAAAATCTTGGTGCAAATTTTGAAATCTATGTATGAACAAAAGTATAGAATTTTTAAAATGAATCTATAGGAAGCTTTTTAATTTCAACTGGCTTTGAACTTAAAGCCAAATGGTTGAATAAAATGAATATAGATGTTAATGATGAAATTTTAAGTTTAATCAAGAATACATATTTGTATTTGTGTCCTGTCCTGTTTGATGCTGTCTATTATCCCTTTAATTCAAGGTTATTATGCATCAGGGCTCCCCTTGTATTAAAGCAAACACTGCAAGGCAACAGAACCCACCATATTATTTGTTTTAACCTTAAAGGGTAGGGCTCAAAATTAAAAAGTGACCAGAATTGTAAATTGACAGTAAACCTAACGACAATACATTTCATGAATACATGAATATTTCCTACCTGGCCAACACTCAGAAAGAAACAACATAAACAAATCAATCAAAAACCTTAGATTAGGTCAAAAAGCAGCTTGGTCTTTGAACTTTTTAACAAATGATTTCATATTTTATATTTTTCTTTCCGCATTTTTAACAGGGTATCTTTCTGTAGTGTCTTACAAACTGCATAATTCACAATTGAATCCAAAGGATCATTTTTATTCTTTTGGAGATTGTTCCACTACAGCTTTGTTGTTTTTGTTGACTGATGCTACAATGGTGGCAGCATCAGATATTTGGGCTTCAGAGGGCCACGGGCTCCATCCACACTGAAGAACAGCAATAGCACAGCCACGAAACTGAAAGACAGACAGCTCATGGTTTGTTGCTGTGTGGTTGTTTATGTGTTCAAATAAATGAAGGGTTACCTGTCTGTTCATGAAAATATAGATGATGGGGTTGTAGATGGTGCTGCTTTTGGCTAAATAAACCGGTATGGTGGCGACGATGGGGTCTATATTAAGACTGGGGTCCATGATGACGGCCAAGGCCATTGCTGCATAAGGCAGCCATGTGATGAGGAAAGCCAGAATCATCACCACAACCATGCGAGCAACCTGCCTCTCCACACGATAAGTGCTTCCGCTCTCAGATGTTTGCAGTTTAGAGACCTATGGAACCAAACAGAGGAATTAATGGTGACAGTCTGCAGACAAACAAAAAAAAAAACATCCAGAATCTGCATTAATCACCTGACGAAGGGTCCATAAAAGTTTGGAATAGGACACCATGATAGCTGAAAAGGGCACCGCAAAGCATAGAGAGAAGTAGAGGATGATGTAGGACATGTTGGCAGCATCACGGTTATACCAGTTAGGTGCACAGGAAATCTGAACCCCTTCAAGGTCAAAACTTCCCCACCCAAACAGAGGTGGGGTGTTCCACACAAATGACCAGACCCAGGAAAGAACCACGCCTGCCACCGCATGCCTGTGGAAGATGAGGACAGCCTGTTGTTGATGGAAGCGTTCTTCTATAGAGACTGAGGAATATTAGTAGATTTTACCTGGTCTGGAAAAGAACAGCTCCCATAGGATAACACACCACAATGTAACGTTCAACAGAAATAACAGCCACTGTACACAGAGCTGATATACCTGTGGGGAAAATAAAAATGACTTATTAGAAATTTCATTTCATTTACAATTAATATTTTTTTTAAATAAAATTTAATTTTACCAATACTTTAGTACCTTGTACATTTGTGCTAACATTCCTTTGTTTTTAGAACTAAAATAATCCTTCCACATCATTGAATTTCTCAGATTAAGGTTTTATTTAAAACAAATTATTTTCCAAGCCTTTTTATTGCTTAAACATAAAACTTGGACATTTAATATAATACTGATTTAAGAGTGTTTTAATTGAAGGTCTATGCTTTTATCTTTATTGTTTTTCTAAAAAAAAAGGGGTCCCATGTTTTTTGGTTATGCGCAAGAAGAACAGCTCTGATCTTCACATGTTGAAGGTTTAAACCAACATATAAGTCATTTTTTTTAACAATGAATTCTAAAACCTTTGTTGTTGATGTTTCTAATAAAATCTGAGATTGGAAAAACATATTTTGACTTGATTTACTGTTTTCAGTCAGTGGTACCTCCCCTATTTATATTTTCCTTTTTATTTATTTTTTTGACAAACCATTTATTATTATGGCATTTTGATTCTGAAGCATCCTAAAATTCATACTCTCTCAGCAGAACTCAGATGAAACTGAATTATATAAACAATGAGCATTGATGTCTGAATGTCTACTTATGTTTTTATTTCCTCTAATAGTAACCAGCTGTAGAACATGTGGGTAAAGATCAGGGGACTGGAGACGGAGCTCTGAGGAACACCAAAACTAATGGTTTTCACACTCTCAATGTTTAGGTGTGTTAGGCATGTTTGTCTCCAATATGAAAAAGTATTTTTCAAAGAAATCAAGTGAAGACATCTATTCTTTATTTAAATTTTTTTTGCAAGTTTTTTATTACTGATAAATTTGCAGCGAGGCAGAAGAAAAACTTTAGTTCGTCAAAACACAATTTCTGTGCATTATATACCATATATATATATATATATATATATATATATATATATATATATATATATATATATATATTATATATATATATATTTTTTTATTAAATATGTTATTCTTTGTCAACATTGGTTTGTAGAACAATATTAATAGTGGATTTGCTTAATGTGGGGATTTTATGGAGCAACAGTAATTGTAATAAATCACACACAGTATTATGCACTGCCTTTGACTACTAGTCAGTTTGGACAACAAAACAAAATTAAGTTTTGTGTTTATTGTTTAAATTATCAAAATGCTTGGTTCAAATCAAGCATCCATCAATACACCCAATCTTTACCTGCAGACCTGTGTTGTACATTTTAAGAAGATTTTTACTTACAGCACAGGGCTGCAGGTACATTTTTAGGATTTAGAATAAAAGAAAACAGACTCACCAAAAAAGGCGACAGCAAAGCCCCCAAACACGCAGCCCAACCGTCCCAGGCTGAACTGCCCCATGATGCCGTTGAATGTTGTGGGTAGCCCTCCAAACAAAGCGCAGCCCAGGTCACATACAGCAAGGTTAACCAGAGCATAGCTTAACGGCTGCCTTAACTTTCTGTGTCTCGCTGTCACCACTATCACAAGGATGTTGAGGATGATTCCCGCCAAAGAGAGCACTCCCATGATAATGGCCAATATTGTGTATCCCATCTGAGACAGGAGGCCTGTGTGGCTTAAACTCTCAGATGAGAGGTTTTCAGTTGAAGTAACAGGCTCCATTTTTGACAGTCTTTCAATTGTGTGATAAACTACAGAGTACAATAAAACACGAACAATACTAAAAGCAACAAGCATATGTGATCAATCATTAGCTCAAATCCTAAACTTTTTTTTAAAACAAGCTGACTGTTGAAACATGAAACAGCATCTCCTTGTTATATGCCATCTTCTACTCGACCGCTGCTCTGTGACATCTTGGGAAAGGACACGGAGATTTTCTACTTTAATAAGATGAACTATAATTCTTATAAAGCAAATCCGTAAATCCAGATTATAGAGATAATGATAAACAAATCCTCTTAGACTGCACTTTACATTATTGCTAGATTTGATCACAATAACTGCTTGTAAGGAAACCGTGCAGAAGTTCTGCTTTTCATAAAGCTTGCTTTTCTATCAAAAACGTTTGATTTTTTTTTACTTTTAACTTTAACAATGAAGGAGAAACCTGAAGTAGACAATAAAATCTACAAAATTCGATACATAACTAATCAGTAATACATCTATTTAAAGCTGAAACTTTTTATTTTTATTTATGTAATTTACATGTAACAAAAAACATTCTCATTTCTGTGCCTAAAAAAAACAAACAAACAAAAACATTTGGATAGCATTTTCTAAAAGGCAGCCCAGAATATAGACAATGGCTAAAAAAATAGGTAAATTATAAGAGTTCATCCATGTAAAAAATGAAAAAAATAAATAAAGAAAATAGAAATCTTTTATTTCAAATTTGCGTTTATTGCCTATACAAATATATGCCCCCTGTTGTATGCAAATATACTCATAAAAAATCAATACAGTTCAGTTCATTTAGAGCGCCACTGCAAAACACATTTCATCGAAACTTTACAGAGACAATTCAACAGGATCATACAATCAGCATGGTTATACGTTTTCTATCCAAGGCGAACCAGCTGACTGCATCAGGACTTTGCAGGATTTTTTTTCTCTTGGAAGAGCATGTAGCAATTGGCTTGCCTTGTGTCATTGATTCTACAGCAATCCCCTCACACTCAACCAATGTTGCACTGCAAACGACTAATATGACTGATGCTAGTGACTGGCTTACAGTCTATTATTAATTGATTCAGTGCAGTTTATGGCCTTTAAACATCTTTAGTTCAATTCTACAGTAAACACATTATTTAATAATCTATAAACCACTTTAAAAATATTTATGTTATCAAATAACACAAATACCATCATCAATCCATTCTTTGCATTTATAAAAGCTTGATTTAATTATGCAATGAAAAGAAAACATTGCATGGTCTGGCCATGCTAAAACTGAACTAAATTATTCATCAGAGATTATCTATATTCAGAGTGTTTAATTTGTGAAGTTTAGTTACTCAGGTTGTAGATAATATCTTTGCAGGAGGTACAGGGGGTACTCATACCCCTTGTGGTCCACGAGTGCCTTGTGAGGGCTGAATGAAAATATCTTATTTCTTAGGTAGTAAAATAGAGCTGGGATCTTTTTTGTTTTGTGAGGACCCAATTGAAAATTTAAACAAGCTTTTATCAGCCAAAAGGCAAGTTTTTCTTATATGTTTGAGTTGACCTTCAGCTGTGACCCACATCTAAACCAAGCAGAGGAACAGACTGAATGTAGAGAATAGCCTGGTATCAGCTGCTTACCACACTGAGCTATCAGAGCTCATCAAGCAGCTCAGGTGTCTGGATAGAAACAAAGTCAGTCTGACTAATTTTTGTTCTTTATTTTGTTCCCAATTCCTCAAGTTTAAATGTGCTTGTAAGGGATTTACTAAAAGAAGCTCGTTTTATAAATACAGGTTTATGATATTCTATTTTGTATTTATTATGATTTCCTACTAACTCCCAGGACACATATGTTGATATTATTTCATATGGAAATAATTAAATGATTAAGTGAGAGTGAGAGTGAGTGAAATTGTTTTTATTTTTTAATCAATTATTGTACTTTATACTTTTGGACAATCATCAATACTTTTGACTGAGAGGATACTCATGGTATGAATAAATGGCCAAGGAGTTACACAAGTCAAAAAAGTTTGGGAAACATTTAGGCCCAAATATTGTCTGTCCTCCACGACACTAGAGGGCGACAAACCATTTCTACTTAAACTTGCTCGCATCGCAGGTGGTAAACAGTAAAGATGGCGGCCTCCATGAGGAGAGCCGCACACGATATAGAGACTCGAAAAAGGACAGAGGACGTGCTTCTGGCGGAGGGGATTGACTTCAGCTCACTGCTGTTGTCTCAGCCGGTGTTGGACGGACTGTCCTCTGCGGGGTTTCAGAAACCGTCCCCCATCCAGCTGAAGGCGATCCCTCTGGGCCGCTGCGGACTCGGTAGGTCAACAGATAGTGGCAGCTCTGTCCGATGATACACCTGGCAGCGTCCAGATCACACTAATTCAACTATGTTAGATATGACAAAGGGCAGGACTCGACCTCAGTTTGGAGGCTCACGTTAGAAACAATCATCGTGTTTTAATAAAATATATATATTTTGCTGCTTTAGGGAGAATGGGGGCGGATGAAACAGTTTACTTTTTTACAAAATGTCTCACAGGCTTTATTTGAATCTCAATATTTTAACACAGTGAACTCAAACCTGTTACCTACACACCCATAAATACTAATTGAACTTTATTGATCTCACATTGGAGAAGTTTTCCTCTGCACCCATTCCCTTGGGGAGCAGTGGGTTGCCATTCTGGGGAACCCAGGTAGCAGTGTGGGGTTAAAGTTCTTCCTCAGAGTGGCAGTCAGTGGGAGTGGGTTTCAAACTCACAACCTCAGGATTCAAAGCTCTATGCCCTAACCCCTGGGCCACCACTCAATCCATAACAAGTACATCATTTAGTAGAAACCTGATGTAAAGTGGTTGAACGGAGTTTGTTAGATTTTAATTTCTTTACAATTAAAACTCATATTCATCACACCTTTTTTTAAAATCAAAAGTTAAATACTGTATTCATCGATTAAAAAAGTATTTTACATCAGCGGTGTCCGAATAAAGAAAATCATCAACCAGTAAAGGTCCAGAGACATTTTTATTTGCAATCTGTTACTTTAAATAGAATTTAACACTAAAATGAAATGTTTTTTATGCATCCATGTAATACATTGATTTTTTTAAATAAAAAAGTATATATATATAAAAAGAAAACGTTTCCATTTTAAATTCTAAAGTCTTTTTTGAAGTAGAGAACAACAATTGTTTAGTTTGGTATGGCTTAATGAGAGAAGCTGGCTTCATGATGTCCTTTAAGGCTTTTAAAACTGTTTGAATGCTGACTAAGCCATTTTCAAGCACATATCTAGGTGCCCATTAATGAGTCTGCATCAATATTTATTTTTGATTATGGTGGTGGAGAATCCTGCTTCACAGCAGTAGATTGAGCAAAACATATTCAAAATGTGCAGGGTCATCTTTGAGCACGCCATTTCACTTTTCTTTCACTAGTTCGCCGCAGTTCTTCCAGCAGTCCACAATATCTCAGCTCTCTTTTTCTCATCGTCTCGTCCTTCTTTCCCATCGCCCGGCTAGCCGCAAGTTTGCCTACTGTGTCTAAAAGTGGCCAGTAGCAGCAACCCAGACTGACAGCTCATTGGCTAATTAGTATCACATGCAGCCTGGTCCCGGATGCTCTGGAGGGCTTTACCATATTAACAGGAGAAGCGGCGCAAGTGAAGTTAGACACTGCCGTCGGACAACCTGTGATAATTTATAAATCTTTTAAATCAGGTTGGGTCCGGATTAGCCAGTAGGTGGGCCCGGATCCGGACCCCGGTCCACTAATCCGTGACCTAGGATGTAGGATGTCAACAATTTGGATTAGGCCTTTAGAGATCAATTAGATGTTAAATAACTGGACAGCTGCAGCTGTGTTGGAGCTGTCTCCCGCTCTAACTACCATCTTTAAACTAGCCATACTTGCTTAAAACATTTGTGTTTCTCCATGGCGTCTATGCCTGTTGGAAGCCAAGAAACTGCTGATTAAAACTGTATGACTGTTAGTTGTTCATACAGTCTGGATGCAATCTAAAAAAAAAAAAAAGCAATCATTGATACTACTACCTTTTATTTATATTTTCAGTTCTCCCTGAAGGAATTGTTAAATGTGTCTTGCTGTCTTTGCTCATCAGTCAAGCTTAATGCGTTTAGATAAAATTAACAATGTTGTAGCTGCCCCTGCTCAATCCCAAATGGGACCAACCCACATTAAAGTCCTGACCGTGTACATACCAGATAGATCAGCTATACAAAAAATTCAAACCAAAATGGGAGATGGATAGATTACTTTTATTTTAGGGAGTGAGCTTTATATTTCGTGTTAAATTGAGGAAACATGCACCCAGTCATTTTAAAATGCTTGTTTTCCCAGAATTTATTGTTTTGTTGTTCCATTGCATCAGCTTTTGTTTTTTATTTCTATCTTGTTTCAGATTTGATTGTGCAAGCCAAGTCTGGAACAGGGAAGACATGTGTTTTCGTCACGATTGCGCTGGACTCTCTTGTCCTGGAGAATCCGTCCACTCAGGTGACAGGAAATATTTAACTGGCGCTCATGAGTGGGACATTTCATCAGTATATAATTCCATGTTTTTATAGATCTTTAAATAAATCTAATCTATTTTCCTCATACTAGTATTGAGCACTCTGATTTAAATTTTCTGCTGATGACTGTAAGCTTGTTATTAAGGAGAAGTATGTTTAATAATCGTAAAGGACGCCCTCAACTATTACTGTTTTAGAAGCATCCAGGATCTGCTTATGGCTTGTGGATTTTTTCCTCACTATCGTTTTACTTCTTATGCAGGTTCTTGTTTTGGCTCCGACGCGAGAGATTGCTGTGCAGATCCACTCAGTGGTGATGGCCATTGGCTGCGCTATGGAAGGCTTGGAGTGTCATGTTTTCATTGGGGGCAGGCCTGTGAGCCAAGATAAAGCCCATCTGAAGAAGTGTCACATCGCTGTGGGCTCCCCTGGTAAGAAACCAGTGGGGTGTCGATAGATGGAAGGAATCTCCTCATGATTTCATGGTGATGCTTGTTTTTGGTGACAGATTTCCTTGTTTGTGTTCTCAGGTCGCATCAAGCAGCTTATTGAACTTGGCATGTTGTCCACTGCCAGCGTCAGGCTCTTCGTTCTGGATGAGGCAG